AAGGGATACTCCTAGTTTAGGTAAGGGATACTCCTAGTTTAGGTAAGGGATACTCCTAGTTCAGTTAAGGGATACTCCTAGTTTAGGTAAGGGATACTCCTAGTTTTAAAGTTTTGCAGTGTCAATAAGGGGCGGATCCAGATTATTTTGGAGGGGGAAGGGGTACAGTGTAGGAATTTTCGTTCTAGCAGCTAGGGGGTGCGCCCTTTGCTTGCAAACTAAAGCACCATTAACGCAATAGTGATCAAAATAAATAAATATATATCGAAATAATTATATGAACATTTATATWTACAGAATATATATGTACGTATGATGTGTATGTATGGAATATGTGAATATAGATATTATGCACATACATAAACATACGTATATATTCGTAACTTATTTGGATCTAAGTTGATGTGCAACTTTGTACAAAACGCGAAATAAAATATGTCTGTCTGTCTGTCTGTCTGTCTGATATCAGCTCAACTAGGGGGAGGGGAGGTGCGCTCCCCCTGCACCCCCCCCTCCCCCCCTGTTAATAGTACATTGTAATTTGACGTGTTTGTCTTTCCTCGGCCCTTACCAACAACTCTCCAAAAAATATTTGGCTCATTTTTTTTCGTAGCAAGAATTGATGTAATGGTTTCATAAGAACACAACGAATCACACCTACTACAATAGACTGATGGAACTACAACAGGATACCTGGATACAATAGATTTTCTGAAAGTTTCCCCGTTCGAAATCTTTCCGTGGATCTCTCGTAGAGTTATCGGAAATCTTTCGCCATTTGTCTGTATTTAGTCACCAGGCTTTCGCGTCCCTGATTCAAATCCAAGATGGCGGGCGCCATGAATGTGCCATGTGGTTTTAAATTTCTTCTTCAATTCAATGAATTTTTTTTCTTACGAAACTCTCTCGAGAAAATGATTATTGCTTTGGCTTAGGAAACTCCCCTTTTTACTTCTGAAGCCACAAGGGAGAAAAAATTCAAGAATTTGGTGTTTTTTTGCTGTCTCTTATGAGCTGTCATCACAAGTTCTTTTAGCTCAAATTTCTGCAAAAAATGGACTCGGAGCAAATGAAAAAAATTGAAGAGGTCTACAAGAAATGGGAGAAGAAAAGTTCAGGAGGCAGATACGCTGCAGGCTCAGTAGCTAGCACTGGAATGCAGACAGGAAGGAGTGAAGGGGGAAATGATTGGGTTAGAAAATATGGTTATTATCCACAAGCACCTACAAGGAGACCTGCAAGATCCAAAAGACGAAAACAGAAGGTATTAGCTTAACTTAGATAAGAGAATATATTCTTCGATTGCACGTTACGTCATCGCGGCCATGTTGGTGCCATTTGACAAAAGATTTCTCATTAGCATCCATTGTTAACGGCACCACAATGGCCGACATGCTTTTGTCTTTTGACTCTCTTGGGAATGTTTGCAATCCATCAATTAGTCAAACTATCGTGGGAGGCTTTTGATAGGCGAACATGGCTTTCTTTAATGGTTTATTATTGGTGATATCTTAATAATATAAAATGGTTTCTTATTGATAATATTTTAGAACTTAAGAGAGGATGTCAGCAAAAATCGAACATACGCCGGCAACAGTCGAAAAATCGAATTTGCTCATATTTTAGTATTAGGAAGACCTTGATGCGATATAAACCGTGGTATACTTCATTTGCCAAAATATCGCTTTATTTCCGAGAAAAACGAGGAAAACCAATTTGTGCATAATTG